AAACATAGAAATTCACCGTGGCCGAGGGGTTTGCGCGCTCGCTTATGAAGCGAGAGGTCTGGAGTTCAAATCCCTGTTCAGGCAACTCATTTTTTTTTTCAAATAAACATTGGATTGAATATCAGTGTTGCAATTTGTCTTACAGCCAATCTACTACAATTAAAACGCTGAAAAGCATTGGTGGCACTATACAAAAACAAATTGTTTTATAATCTCACAACCTTCACCTTTCTGACATTCTGAGACCCAAACAAATTCAGCTCCTTCTGTGCTTTGATTTATTATTTCACAATCTTTATTGCGATATCGCGCGATATTTGCATCAAATATGGACGTCAGAACGTGAGGGAAAATAACGTAGAATCGCAGAGTATTAAGCAAATGTTCAAGGAAGACATCGTTACAAAGACATACATTTGCTGAACATTATAAAATTAAAATGAAGGAAATCGGATGAAAATTGATAAGAACAGACCGGTTTTATTGATTAAAAAGACGCAATTTCGCCGCCACCGATAGAGGGCGCTTTGACGTCATAGTAACGCTGTTTATTTATAAAATAATGCTGCAGAAGTAAAGCTTACATATCTACATGTCTGTATACCAAAAATCATCAAAATCTGAGATATTGTCATATTTCGGTCGGAAAGTAGCGAGCTACCTTAAACTGACATAGGATATCATCGTTCTCTTGTCAAAAACCATGCGAAGAATATTCTGGAAACAGAAGGATCAGATTTCACAGATCTGATCATAACCGTATAAATGGGTTAGTATTTTGTTTTCTAAGTAAAACACAGCTTATTGTACATGTGTATGTTTATGACTAGTAGATATCATCACTTGCTTAAAGAATAAAAGAAAAAGAAAACTTCTCAAGTAGGCCTAACGTACACTTAAAACTTAAAAGGTAAGGACAGTTTAGTTATTGTTACTCTTGGTTTATTTTTGTTACAGTTAGATTAAGTTAACAATTTCAGATCATCACAGTATTTTTGTTCGTGGTAAGAAAATAAATAACACATGGGTTTGTGAGTAACAGTAAAAATATCTTCCCTCGTAAAAATTCTGTTACCCTCGGCTATACGCTTCGGGTAACAGTATTTTCCTCGGGATGATATTTTTACTGTTACCCACAAACCCATGTACTATTTATATACTCTCCACACAAAACGGGTGTAAAAATCAAAATATCTGCTGCAGTTATATTAGATATGCAGTGCTATGCACAAAAGTAAAATTTGCAGTTTCCACGAAATAACTTGGACCTACCGTTGGTATTTTCCTGGCACTTGACACAGATATAAACATCCCTATTATCACACCCGTGAACATGTAGCGAGTAGGACAGCTTGATGCAGTCACAACTTACACCATAAAATGTCAGTTTTAAACCGGATTACCGAGATATGTTCTTCTGCTTTGTCTCTTTTTATAGACATAAATTTCTATGATATATTATGCAGTTATCGTTTGCAGGATAAAAAAAACCATACCAAACACACAATTGTTGTACCTGCAAACAACGGATCTACTTGCAACCAATTTACAGGTGTGTTTATAACTATATCAATATTAATAAAATAAAGCGTTGCAACTATTTAAAATTTCAAAATGATATCTTATCGTCGCACATGACATGTATTAATCATCTAGTTCTAAATAAATGTACAAGTCTGTGGTAAAATTTTAACTTTTGATGGCTTCTTATTTCAAAAATGTCCAAACTTCAATGTGTGGGATAGTAGCTTTAATATTTTCTATCTCTTGTATATATAGTAGGCGCATAACATACTAACAGTGATCCTCTAGCTTTGAGTTTAGCAACAGGTTTATTGGGTAAAGGTCACTGGTCTTTTTCTTATAAAGATTTTACTTTTTACTGATGTTTCTCGTATTTGGTAGGTAGACATCTTGGATAAGCTTTCTACCTTAAACGGAGTTAGGAATGGAGTAAGAAGTTAATTGGGTCATGGTTAAGGTCAACAACGTTTTAAATCGTTTCCTTGTTAATTTGCTCATACATCTTTATATATTTTTTTAAATGACCATTGAGCATTGATATACCTCGGCAAATATGCCGGTTAGGGAGCGTTCATTGCTTTGTGAGATATGTCTTGTTTATATATATCATGATAAAGATTGATTAAGTGTGTATCTTCTATTTTGAAGAACTTGAAGATAAAAAAGTAAGCCAGTAATGTTTTTTACTTTATTAGATGAACCAGAAATAAAACAGAAAAAATAAATAAGTAAAACATACATCTATTAACTTTTCCCCTCTAAAAATTCCCAATTTCAACCCAATTTACAACAGGTTAAATTACACGCTGACATTTTAGCATGTTAAGCAAAACAGTGAACGAAAATGAGACAAAATAAGAAAAAAATATTAAATATAAGATACATCTATCAATTTTTCCCTCTACAAAATCCCACTATTAACAGAAGTTATACGTAATAAAATACGATCAAGGTAGGTGAATGAAAAATGCAAATTCTTTACAAACAACAATACTGAACTATGCCAAAACAAGAGAAAAAAAGAGAATAATTTGAACGTTTATATAATCTTTAAACGATCAATGAATATACAACAAAACAAAATCTATGTGTAACATCTCACTGCACAGTTTCAGATATGATTATCAACGCAATAACAAAAACGTTTATTGTATTCGAAATGATTGAATTTTTCACATTAAAATTCCAATGGCACATTGAACAATTACAACAAGTAGAAAAAAATCACAATATACCTTACAAACTATTTAAATAGACGTGCAGATAAGCTTCAACAATGTTTTTTATTTATTTTTAGCGCTTTGAACATGTTTATAAATTATCCTAACATATTATATTACATTGAAATACTGTATATATTTTCAAACTGTCACTTATCGATTCCGAATATACTGTCATATTTGTTCATTTTTTTAAAGAAAGGCCATATTAGTTCAAACAAGAATGTTTTTCGTTGATTCTGCTTCTTTCATTTTTATATCATAATATCTTTTTAAAAATACTGTCTTTGTTTTTTCACGAATGTTTCATATATGTGAGAATAACGTAGAATTATATATGCACTCTTTTAAGATCAAAACATTATGTTTGATATGTGTCAAATTATTCTGTTACCTTCGAATGTTGCAGTAATTTTGTCAAAATATGTTCTCTTTTTTTTGGTCCAAATTATTTGTCTGGAGGCGGTTCAGACGATCCGGAAGCTGAAATATATAATAAAATGAAAACAAAAGGAAAAAAAATGTATACTTTAAAAGGTAACTACGTCATTTTTAGTTTTCATAGTGTGTGATGCCAACGTATAGTTTAATTTTATGATCGCAACTCAGTATTTCAGTTTTATTTTAATGCATTTCTGTAAAACACTTTATTAAGAATTTAACGCGAGATTGAAGTACTCATAAACTTAAGTACTTACTGCATATGGCGATCAGTATTTGACCTATCAAGGTCTTTAAAGTATCAAAGGAGGCGGTTGTATACACGTATTCAGGAGCTGATGCGATATCAAACAGTTCAGAGGTATCAAAGTCACCAATACCTATGGCAAATATCTGAAATAAATACATTTTAAAATTGAATGTAAGAAAATTAATGTTTGTATAACTCAGCAATAGGGTTGTTTAAGATGATACATTTGACGTCTGTTTATTTTTTGTTTGATTGTTAAATAATGCACGGAAGGGCACCTGAGGTCTTGCTCCAACAGTATGGAACGTCGCCATATGACCTACACTGTGTAGGTGGGACGTAAAACCAAATCATGTTATTAGAACAATTGTGTACTTAGCATGCGAATTACGCATAATCGTTTATAATGATAAATTAGTGTCATAATCGATATTTGTAACCTCTATGTTAGGAATTGAAATATTTTCTTCTTGAAACCTTTAGTTAAAAGGGAATAAAACATATTCAACTTTTATTGTAGTTTCTTTGCTGAATATGTTTTAAAATTTCTACAAAAATAGTACTTCTGGCATAATGCATTGAAATATATGATATGAGCCGCGACACGACAAAACCAACATAATGCCTGATCAGGATCCATGCTGTTCGCTATCAGATTCTCTACTTGCTATAGTGTTTGTAAGCGAACAGCATGGATCCTGATCAGACTGCGCGAATGCGCAGGCGGGTCTGGATCCATGCTGGTCGCAAACCCATTATGTTGGTTTTGTCGTGACGCGGCTCATATATATATATATATTGTGTATAAACAAAATTAACTCGTTGATTGTAAGACGTATTTTAAGAAAAAGACAATTAAGGCTAGAAATGAAGCTACCAGTTTTTTATTTATTCAGGCATATATCAAACACTGTCTTAACTAGATGTTAGTGTAAAAAATATTGCACGAGAAAAAATATCAACCACATGAAAAAAAAAACAAAAACAAAAACAAAAAAAAAAACACCAAAAACATGTGTATCAATAAAAACAAGACTAGATATAACATCCTTATATATTGTCAATGCCTTGCTAGAATACAAGAGTAAACATAAGGGAATACAAGTTTTACAGGAGAGTTTGAAGAAACCAACCATTGCTTTGCTTGAATATAGTTATAAAGAAAGTAAAAATAGCAGAACGAACTGAGTCGAACAAGACGTTAACAGTGAAAATGAAACCTCGTTAAAGACACAAGCCAGTGTCACAAGCGAGTACATTGTGTACAACACTTGTAATGAAAAATGAAACATTTTGGCAGTGAAACAATGTGAAAACGTGTACTGATACTTTTATGACAGCTTATGTTTATCACAGAAATACTTGGATCTAGATTTAAGGATTTACAAAGAGAGCGAAAAAGATTCAGATTAAAACAAAAACTGCAATCAATGTATAAATAAGCGAAAGTACCTAGGAAAACAAGGATAGTAAATGTAACATAATTTCAATATGATTATAAGACATTTGCATTAAAATTACCCCCAAAACAGGATAGCAAAAATATTTATATGTATGTAATCTAAATTACCGTGGTGTCAGGAACAGCTTTGAGGAGAGCAATTTCCGTCGGTAAATTGTTTGTAGCATATGGCTCAGTGGTCATGCCGTCAGTGATAACAATAACAAAGTTCGGAATAGTTGGTCTGTTAGCGCTGTCTAGGAGAATTGAGCGAGCTTCAGCTAACCCTAAGTCAGTTCTTGTTGTTCCAGATGAGTAACTGAAAAACAAATTCAGTTTTAAAACATATTTATATACGATTTTTTTATAACTACGCATTACATTCACAAAAAACAGAAAGTCAGGGGGGAATGGCACGAGTTGGAAATCTGTATAAAATACATCATTTTCCTCGTTCACTTTTTTTGAACAACTTCTTCTGCTTTTACTTTTTATATTTGACCAATATAAATTCTTCATCATATTCTCTGTAAAGTCAAAGGATTTTCAGTTTTACGGATGTAAAGTTACCCATATTTAAAGGGGCATTTAACCTCAAAACTACTTTTTATTTAATTCAAGTGTTTTTTAAAATGTTTATATTTTAATTGATTTAGAGCATGTTACATGTTTAACAACCGACGAAAGTAGTAATGAACATGTAGAAATGTGTTATTAAGGTAGCAGAAAGTAATCAAATTAATATGATGACTTTCATAAAATCAAAGCACAGAAGGCGCTGAATTTGTTTGGGTCTCAGAATGTCAGAAAGGTGAAGTTTGTGAGATTATAAAACAATTTGTTTTTGTATAGTGCCACTAATGCTTTCTAGCGTTTTAATTGTAGTAGATTGGCTATAAGGCTAATTGCAACACTGATATTCGATCAAATGTTTATTTTGACTTAAACAGTTTGAAAAAAAAGAATAGATGCAAGTGGGATTTGAACGCCAGACCTCTCGCTTCCTAAGCGAGCGCGCTAACCCCTCGGCCACGGTGGACATACATGTTAACGCCCTGAAGAAAACCATTTTATTCTCTTTAGGGTTTGTAACGACGCTAACTTTTGATTTAAACATATTTTATTGCCAAAAATAAGACATATACATACATGTAGACAGTTACAATACAATGACATGACATATTTGGCCGACGCTAACTGTTGTTTAAAACTTGTGTAAATAATCATGGCGCTTACTATAAGCATGTATATTTATAAAGAATAAAACAATATTAGAAATCTTCGACCATTCGGGAATTATTTTACTTTAGAATTAATCCGCCTGTCATGTGACCATATTTACGCAGTGATCTCCCCTAAATTTTTCGGCCTAAGTGTTACATATAAAGGGAAGTAACCGCTTCAAAAAAAGCGGACTACTTTCGGCACCTCATTTAACAGCATTAGAGTCTGAAATTTCGCTACCATTATTTGTTTGGTCTTACGACCCAAACAAATAAAAAACACTTCTTCAGTAAAATGTTTATACCAACTGCTAATACAGAAAAGGAAAAAACAATAGTTTTATGTATGCCAAATGAGTATTATTTATCAAAACTGAAGCAAACAAGAGCCGGTTTGAATCGGGTTGGTTTTTGACACAGAAAAGTACACCTCTCGTAGTTTCAGAGTTATGCCTCGGACAAAGTTCAAAGTGCAATAATTCCAAAAATAGGCAAGGCAGAGTCAAGGTTCTTTGCACTGCACTTTTACTCAATGAGATCTATCTACCGGTTTAGTTTCTTGTTGATTTCTCTACTGTCCCGAACAAAGTTCACCGTGTAAAATTTGAAAAAGGGCAATAATTGCAAAAAATAGACAAAGCAGAGTTACGGTTCTTTTACATTGCATATTTACGCAATAAGATATATCTGTCTGCAAACTTTAATGTAAATTATATTTTTTATTATTTCAGTTATATCCTGGAAAAGTTGAAAGTGAAAAAATGAACATAGAGCAATAACTTCAAAAATTAGGCAAGGTAGAGTTACGTTCTTTTTGCATTGCTTATCTACCAAATGAGATCATTCTACCTATAAAGTTTCTTGTTCATATCTCTTATAGTGTCAGAGTTAAGTCCTAGACAAAGTTCAAAGTGTTAAAATGAGCAAAGGGCAATAACTCCAAAAATAGGCAAGACAGAGTTATGGTTTTTTACACTGCACATCTACCCAATAAGATCTTTCTACATACAAAGTGTGTTGTTCATATCTCTTATAATTTCAGAGTTATATCCTGGACAATGTACAAAGTGTAAAAATGAACAAAGGGAGATAACGCCAAAATTTAGAGAGGCAGAGTTATGGTTCTTTTCCACTGCACGTCTACCCAATGAGATATATCTATCTACAAAGTTTCATGTTGATATCTCTTATAGTATTAGAGTTTTGTTCCAGAAAAAGTTCAAAGTAAAAACAAAATGAACAAAGAGCAATAACTCCAAAATAAGAGAAAGCAGAGTTATGTATCTTTAAAACTGCACTTCTAGCCAATGGGATCTATCTATCTTCAAAGTTTCATGATGATATCTTTTATAGAAGAGTCATGTCCCGAACAAAGTTCAAAGTGTGAAAATAAACAAAGGGCAATAAATCCAAATAAGCAGGGCAAAGTTATTATTTTTTTGCACTACAATTTTTATTTAATAAGATCAATCTTCCTTTAAATTTTCTTGCTGATACCGCTTATGTTTTCAGAGCTATGTTCCGGACAATGATCAAAATGGAAAAATGAACAAAGAGCAATAATAGAGTTATAGCACTGCACATTGCCTCAATGCCCTCTACATTGTGTGCAGATTTAAAAAATTATATCAAAAGGTTTTCAAGTAATTCTTCGTACAAGAACGGACGGATAGATGGACAGACGGAAAATGTGACCACTTTATGCTCTCAGGCAGCATAAAAAACAAAATAAACAAACAAAAATAAAACAACAACAAACAACAACAAGAGCTGTCACAGGAGACAGCGAAGCTCGACTAATAAAATACTGGACGCAGTAAGGAGGACAAAACTATGAAAGAAAAGTCAATTATGTATAATTATGTATTAAGTTATAGTAAAAAAATAACATTTGTTAACATAAGTTCCAAGATCAAGGGGAATAATTCTAGAAATAGTCATGCTAGAGTTATGGACCTTGCCACACAACATTTGTGTAATGATAAGAAATATATATTTGAAGTTTGAAGTAGATACCTTAAAAAGTAAAGAAGTTATTATATTTCTTAAAGAAAATCCTAAGTTCAAAGAGAGATAAATCTGTAAATATTGCTTCAAGAGTTATGAACATTGTCACATTAAATGTAATTGATGATAAGGAATAAGTATTTGAAGTTAGAGGTAGGTACCTTTAAAAATAAAAAAGATATTTTCTAGTATAACATTTTTCTAGTAAAAAAATCTAAGTTTATGGGGAGATAATTCTTGCAATATTGGTGCTAGAGTAATGAACCTTGTCACATAAGATGTGGATGATGATAACGAAAATATATTTGAAGTATGAAGTTGATCCCTTTAGAAATAAATAAGTAACAGTAAAAAATAATATTTTTTATGGAAAATTCTAAGTTCAAAGGGAGATAAATCTGAAAATATTGGTGCTAGAGTTATGAACCTTGTCACATAAGATGGGGATGATGATAACATAAATATATTTGAAGTATGAGGTTGATCCCTTAAGAAATAAAGAAGAAACAGTAAGAAATAGTATTTTTTGAGGAAAATTCTAAGTTCAGGGGGAGATAAATCTGAAAATATTGATGCTTATATTGATATTGAGTTATGAACCTTGTCACATAAGATGGGGATGATGATAAGGTACATATATTTGAAGTATGAGGCTGATCCCTTAGGAAATAAAGAAGTAACAGTAAAAAATAGTATTTTTTAAGAAAATTCTAAGTTCAAGGGAGATAAATCTAAAAATGTTGGTGCTAGAGTTATGAACCTTGTCACATAAGATGTGGTTGATGATAAGGAACGTATATTTGAAGTTTGAAGTTGATACCTTAAGAAATGACAAAGTTATAGTGAAAAATATTTAACTGCACCAAAACTTTAATCTAAAATCTGGACGCGGACGCGGACGCCGAAGCCGACGCCGGGACGAGAAGGACAGCTCTCCATATACTTCGTAAAGTCGAGCTAAAAACGCAAACAAATATAAAGGTTTTACTAGATCTAGCATTTAAGAGTGAGTCAGTGAGATTATATTGGTCGTTTTTTTGAAACAGAAACATCTTATAATCTACTTACGGTTGGCTGCATATTGATAAAGTGAAGTCAAAGTTGTCATTAAATGCGTCCAAGGGGTACACATAATTTATGGCGTACGAATAGTCAACTAAACCAATTCTTGTATCAATGTCAGATATCTGGAACGCATTGCCAAGTGCTATAACAAAAGCTTTGATTTTCTGGTAATTCGCTGTTTTTACTGATCCAGATGCATCAGTGACGAAAACAATATCTGATCTGAAATCTGTACAGTCTGAAATAAAGCAAAATATTATCACGTTTGTTAGCAAGTATAAAAACGGATCATTACCGTACTTGAATTGATTTTCCTATCTGACACTGTTTCGCTCAAACAAAACGTTTTTATGTTTGTATCATATACGTCGACACTATTTTCTCTTTTTGATTCATTTTTAGGAGTATGTTCATGTTTCATCGCATGTGCGGATGATTTATGTTTATACCATTATAAACAAAGTAATATTTCGATAGACATACATGTATATATGTTTTTGGGGGAAAAAACGCAAAGCATTAATAATCGTTTGGGATCTTTTTCAATAGCAGGGATTAAAACAAAATCCGTAATCTGCAGAGGGGTATATTCAACTGTTTGTCAGGTAAAGTTATTGATCATAATTGTTCACTAATTTTTCCGGCAGAAACAAGGCTTGTTGGTAATGTTTTCATTATTTCAATGCTGGTGTGTGAATGTATTTGCGATCTTGAAGAAATAATTATTTATAGAATTAACACACTGAAAGTAGATTTATGTTAGAAAGTATAAGCACAACTTTTGCTGATGTTAGCCGAAAATTTCTTCACTTTAACATAGTGGTTGATACAACAATCTCAAGCCGGCAAAAAAGCATTCATGGCGAAAATGATGATTTGTTAAGGAGAGCTTTAACTGCCAAATGTAAGACGAACAAATTATGACACAAATGACATTTGTACCGTCTTTGTGAACTCTGTTATGAAGCATATTCCGATAAACTTAAAGAGTAGAACAAATAAACATGATATTCAGTCAATTACCTACATCAGCTTGCGTAGAAAATGAACCATGACTAAATCTTTGAAATAATGTCTTCGTACAAAGGTTGGTCATGGATAATAATAACAAATAATAAAATTAACATTCAAGACAAAGTTATCACGTTTTGACAGACAAGCTAAAATATATGTTCGATACAATATATAAACGACAAGTAGCACATAAAGATTATAAAGATGACCATAGCATGACTATATAATACGCGAAGAATCTTGCTCTAGATCTTACTTTAATTCTAATTTTTATAATATACTGTACCGTTACAACAATCGCCTTCATCAGTATGTTCACAAATTCCACATATACAATAACCAGACAGACACTGATCGTCACAAGAGCAGTCACTTCCGTTCGATAATCCTATGGTTATATATTAAGTATCATTACACACACATAAATATAAACATATTAATGATAATAACATTATATAAACATAAATCGGCTACTTGAAAATATATGTTGCAGCTCATATTTACACCTAAACGTGGTAGCTGGTCATGAAAATGCACTACTAAAATGATAACCTGCATGGTCTTTATTCACAAAAAAAGATCCATATCAGAATTCATATTTCAAGATCTATGGATCATATTGCTAAAAATAAATATCGTTGATATTGAATGCTATATGTACAATAAATGCATTTGAATAGCATCACATAACTGAGTTTTCGGTTTTCTTTTTTCTGGTATTTTTACAACTTTTGAAAAATCACATTTTTGAAAGAAGAAATAAAGAGATAAAATGATGATTGTAATAGGCATTTAATCAATATTTTTTTCTCAGTTAGATATCTTATTCAAATACCCTAAACGAAGATTTTTTTCTTGAAAATTTAATGTTTTTAACAAGTTACAAATTAATTACAAAAATAACAAACAAAATTTTTGTTTATTTTCAACAAAATAAGCAAAAGAGCAATCAAATTACAACCTTGTATGTCTCACACTTTTGATCAATGTGTTTTAAATGAATTATTTCACCTAAGTAGCAGGAGATATATATGAGCCGCGTCATGACAAAACCAACAGAGTGGGTTTGCGACCCGCAGTCTGTTCAGGATACATGCTGTTCGCTTACCAACTCTATATGTAGACTATATCCCTGGTATTGATCAGCTACCAGATAGAGATGTAATAGATTTTTCTTCAAACCAATTTGGAGACATCTTAACTGAATTTTTAATTAATGTAAACTTTTGTATTCTCATTGTTGGACCTCAAGGTGCATCAGTTGTTTATTTTTGTTTAATTCCATATGAAAATTTGTCAAAGTTTATTAAGTCTAGCAAAGAGTATATCCTAAATTGTTATATGAGACTAAGAATGTAGGTATTTTGACAAATCCAGATGTTCAGCATGAGGTTTTTGATACTATAAGTCACTTGGAAAGATGTCTTTTAAACTAGAACATAGAGTTGTAAAAATTTCTTCTCACAGAAAAACTGGTAAGAAATTAAGTAAATAAACCTTGGTGGTCTGATCACCTTACTGTCTTATGGACTGACTTATGCCAAGCGGAGAAAATGTGGCTATAATGTTAGGATGGTAATAGCCAAATCTTACAAAGAAATTTAAGGCATTTGATAGTAGTGTTCAGAGAACAAAGAGGCAATATGTTTATCAAGCCCAGTCTGAATTGGAGGCGGCAGTATCTTCCAACTCCAGATAATTTTGGAAAAGTATTGGAAATATCGGTATTGGAAATGAACGTTTAAAACGTATTCCGATTGAAGTGAAAATGTCCGATGGTTCCATTAGCTCTGATCCAGAGACTGTACTTAGTAAGTGGGGCTCTGACAAAACTCGAAGAACACTGCATCAAATGACTTTGGCAATGACCAGGCTTCTGTTGATTTAGATCAGTTTAATGTTAATAGTGTTGATGAAATAGAGAATTAACACTTTGATAGCATGGTTACTATTGATGAGGTATTGAAATGTATTTCACATGCAAAATCTGGTAAAGCACCGGGTTATGACAATATACCATGTGAACTACTTAAAAATGATTCTGCGATAGCTTTGCTACATAGTCATTTTAATAGATGTTTTTTTAAAGTGGTACTGTTCCTACTGCATGGTCTAAGAGTAAAATTTCACCGGTTCCCAAGTCTTCAACCTCAGACCCACGGGATCCTTTGTCATACAAGGGCATTTCATTGGCTCCATCCATGTATAAAATATACTGCTCTGTTTAAATAATAAATTAGTAAAATGGACAGCTAGTAATAATATTATAAGTGATGAGCAAAATGGTTTTATAAAAGGTGAAAGTACAATTGACCAAGTACAGTCCTCAACTAATATTATTGAAACACGTCAACTTACAAAGTTACAAACATTTACTGCTTTTATAGATTTCAGGAAGGCGTATTACCTTATAGACCGTACATCACTGTCGCAAAAGTTGCACCAGCAGGTGGGCGTAGGGGGCAGACTGTTTCAGGCAATTTCATCATTAAATAAAGATGTTAAGTGCTGTATACTCTTAAATGGATTTGATACACCATGGTTTGATGTAGAATGTGGATTGAAACAAGGCTGTCCCCTGTCTCCAATGCTGTTCAACTTGTATATCAATGATTTAGTAATGTATATGAATAATTTAGACAAAGGTGTTTATATTGGTGAAAGAAAAATATGTATTTTGCTATATGCTGATGACAGAAAACGCCAAAGATCTTCAATCCATGTTAGATACTTTAGCTATATGGTGTTGTCAAAATAAAATGACTGTCAATTGTGATAAATCCAATTCACTTTAGAGCCAGCAGTATTACTAAAACTGAACATGTTTTTTTATTTCAATTCAGGAAAACTGGAAATTTTTCATAGTTATAAGTATCTTGGTGTCGTACTAAATGAACTTTTGGATTATAATGAAATTGCGAAGACAGTCGCAATGTCTGCCTCTAGAGCTCTTGGTCTTGTTATATCCAAAATTTGGTGGTTTTCAGTACTCTACATTTACAAATCTTTATGATTCAATGAAATGGCCAATAATTACAATTACAGTGCCCCGATTTGGGATGATAAATCTTACTCGTGCATTAATGCAGTTCATCATAGGGCTATGCGTTACTACTTGGGTGTTGGAAGATATACCCCGAATGTGGCTGTAAGTGGAAAGATGGGTTGAAAACCACCAATTGTTAGACAGTGCGTGTCTGTATTAAGACAGTATTTTAGAGTTATGAATATGGATGATAATAGAATTAATAAGTCTGTATATATGTGGTCTAAAGCAAGTAATGTCAAGAATGGTTTTTACCGAAGATATTGATAGTGTTCACGTACTAGAGGCTAATATCGGAAATGCCAAACCTACCATATCAATGCTAGAATATAAACTTATGGAAACAGAAACAAATAAATGGAAGTTATTACTTGAGAGAGAAAATGCCATTAGAGGACATGGCGGGAATAAATTAAGGACTTACAGGAAGTTTAAATCTCAGTTCTGCACTGAAAAGTACCTTATGTCTAAGTTGCCATTTATGTATAGATCAGCCTTAACAAAATTCAGATGTGGTGTAGAACCACTAAGAATAGAAACAGATCGTTATGAAATATTGATGTAATAAATAGAAAATGCTTTAACTGTCCGGGCACTATAGAAGATGAGAAACATGTATTACTTTACTGTCCATTATATAATGATATAAGGAAAGGGTTGGTCTCTGCGTTAGATGATGTATTAAGAAATAGAGATATTGTATCTGATGATGACAAAATGGTTACAATTTTTAGTAGTGAAAACCTAGTATATTTATCTGCCAAAGCCTGCCACCATATTCTGTTTGAGAGAAAAAGAAAATTGTACTTTAAATCATGATTCTTTTATATGTTTTTTTATGGAGTATCGTATTAACCAATATGTAAATAATGGTTAGTAACATTTAAGATTGTTTTTATGGTTTTTACAAATATATTCAAAAAGTAGGTTCCAATAAGTAGACGTGATAAAAATTTCTTATTTAAGATTTTTGTATTTTTTTTATATTTATATAGGATATCGCTCTAATGCACAATATTGAGCTTTTCCTTGATTTTAGTCGTGAGTATTTGGTTGGAGGCTGCTTCTTGAATTGAACCATTGTAACAGATATAGTTGTATTAACATACAAATAGGTCTTATGATACTATAGGACCATGAATAAATCACACATTCTTGCTTATTTCTTACGCCCAATCTTATTACTATTAAGATAAAACACACATACATATTATATCAAGGGTATAGTGTTTGGATAAACATTAGGATGTGCGTAGGATTTGCATATATCTGGGCATTTCTCGGAACACTGTAAACTTGTACACTGCTGTAACCATTCAAATCAAACAATCGACAATATCAAAAAACAAACTACACAGAATTTCAACTAAAATAAATACTGTCTGGTTGTCTCAACACTTCACATTATTTAAAAAAAAAAACAAAAAAAACTTGGTTTTATTTTAAAGTAACTTTGTTTTGTAGATATGTCTAGTATGTTAGATTTTGTTGTAAAATTATATATAGTCTCTTATAACTCATCTATGAGTGGCATTTATGTACAATGTCGTAGGTTTTATATTTGTATCGTTTTAATATTGTACATGATGATGAGACTTTAATAAACTATCTTATCTTATCTAATCTCTATTACAAGTGTAGAAACTGATAGCGAACAGCATTGATCCGCACAGTCTGATCAGGATCCATGCTGTTCGCTATCAGTTTCTCAACTTGTTATAGAGTTTGTAAGCGAACAGCATGGATCCTGATCAGACTGCGCGGATGCGCAGGCTGGTCTGGATCCATGCTGGTCGCAAACCCATTATGTTAGTTTTGTCATGACGCGGACCATTTGTTTTCTAAATGACAGGTATGGTGACACCCAAAATATATATCTAATTCTATGCATTTTCTGTCGGTCGGTCCGTAGACCAAATTGTTTCTGATTAATAACTAAAGAACACATCGGCCTAGGAATTTAAAACTAAGTAAAGGAATTGTTCGTGACCAGAAGGTGACCCATTTTAATTTTGAGGTCTTTAGGTCAAAGGTAAAGATCAAATTGACATTTAATGTCAAAATGGTTTCTAATGAATAACTCAACAATTTATAACACTTTGACCTTCAAATTTCTAAGGTCTTGGCCTGTAGATGATCCCTATTTTGGGTCAAGGGCTCATAGTCATATAGACGTTGTAGGTAAAAACGGTTTCCGATCAATAACCTCACAACCCATAGGCCCTTGACTCTCAAACTGCATAGGTACATTTGTCTTGGCCAGTAGATGAACCCTATTGAATCTGTGGTCATTGGATCAAAGGTTAATGTCACATTTGCATTGTAGGTAAAAACGGTTTCCGATCAATTACTTGACAATTCCTGGGCTGTTGACCCTAAAACTTTGAAGGTGCATTGATTTTGGCAAATAGATGACCCCTATTGATTTTGGGGTCAAAGGTTAAGGTCATTAAGTAGGCTTACATGATTTATAAACTTATATGGTAAGACTTGTAATAATTGTGTTGAAAACGCTGCACGCAACCTTTACGGGCACAATGATCTAGTGACTAGTCATGACCAGCAGATCACCCCTGTTGATTTTTTGTCATAAGGTCAAGTGCCAGTCACAATAACCCTGGAATATGACTAATTGGCTGCCAAAAGGGGCATACATGTTTTACAAAATATATCTTTTTTCACTTAAGCATTGTTCAACGAAATAAAATGAAAATTGTTTTGATACGAGGCAAACGTATCAAGATTTAAATAAGACACTCTCAAATGCATTGTTAACAACAAAAATATATTATTTTATAGCAGGTAATTTATAACACTGTCGTTACTACACAGTGAAAGCAACAAAACATTTTACACTAACAAAACAACTGCTTTAAAGTAAAGTGTAGAATATTAAAGCTGCATTATATAAAAATGTAGAATTATTTTTTCGTCGGTCTAAAAAGCAAGCAGTTTACTCTTTTATGAACTTTTTTAAATAGTAGTTATGTAAATTTTATTAAATACTCTTTAGAAATTATTATTTAAAAGAACGCCACGGTAACACTAAAGCTTCTTTACAATTTTTAACATGCAAATGAAGCTTATGTATGCGCTACGAACACAGAATTAGACTTTTGTAAAAATTCCCCATCTTATCAAATTTTACCGTTTTGGCTTCGAGGTACATTAGGTCTGTCGTTTACAAGAGTTTCGAACTAGTAAAGTTTAAAACATCCATTCTTTAAAGCAGAAATTCGGACTACTATGTTTGTAAATTGTCTGTACTCTCGAATTCGCCACAATGAGGTTGCTGAGTTTGAATCTTAAACAGCTCTTTTTGGTCGTCTGGACACCAAAATCAGAACGGGAGTCATAATTAAACAAATGTAGCTATTTATATTTCTATGAAATAATAAAATGCAGTTTTAACGGCATGCTATAAAATAACAAATGATCACTAAAAAAAACATCAACAACAACAAAATTGAAATAATTTCAATTGAAAATAGATGTTATCTTGTTTTATTTCATGTGCTTTTTATATAAATGAAATTGGAATATGAATGTGCTAACTTACTTGGGCTACATATTCCGCAATAGTCTAAGTAGTAATCATTCTTACATACGCATATGGTTGCTTCACCATCAACAACACAAATCTGGTTAGGGTCAAGGCAGTCGGAATCTGCCTGACATTCACCGCATGTTAAAGCATCTGTTGAAAATATTTACAAGAATGATTGAAAACGAATTTAATTCCAAGTCTAGTTCTTAATTGTGTTATTTTTGAGAATATAAAAGGAATTCATTTTGCGCAAGCAGTTGGTTAAGTAGAAAATTACATGGCACGAATAACTGTAAAACGCTATTAAGTGGTAATATGTAATATGATTCAACGGTATTTAAATAAATTTACAATTAATATTCAGAGGGCTTATAAAGCTTTAAAGAAAAAATGAAAATTCGAATTGTAAAACTTTGTCTAATTCCGATATTTTAACCAATAACACGTAATTGGATTGAAAAGTTAATAAGTTATACACAGGATATAGTAAAACTTCTTCATATTACATACAAAAAAAAATAGAAATTATAATAGAATTAAAATAAATTACCTAACTTTTCACAATTGTGACATTAAAAGATTTATTAGATGTGGACATAAAACAATAATTTGTCCTGGTGTATGGTACCATGAAACGATGGTTATTCTGTTTTTGTTGCTGTAAAATTTATTAAAGTATTATAACGAGACACACATATGAGCCGCGTCATGACAAAACCAACATAATGGGTTTGCGACCAGCATTGATCCAGACCAGCCTGCGCATCCGCGCAGTCTGATCAGGATCCATGCTGTTCGCTTTCGGATGCGCAGGCTGGTCTGGATCCATGCTGGTCGCAAACGCACTATGTTGGTTTTGTCGTGACGCGGCTCATATGTTGAAGACTTACAACACTCGTTTTCAAACTGCACGTCAAAATAAGGGCATTCACAGCGATATGTTGGACCACACACAAGACCGTTTGTTGCACAAGAGTCCGGGCTAGCCTCACAAGGTTCATCTATTTGGCTACCGACTGTAAAGCAAAATAATAAAGATAAATTGACATTTTCCAACATTGTGGAGATAAACCTTGTTAATTTACAAAATTAAAAAAAATAATAAAATAAATAAATAAACAAAAAGAACGAGATCAACGACCTCAAATAAATTTACGTTTACGATGTTGAAAAATTATGCAAAACCTGAAACAATTCAATAAAATAATTTCCTTTCTCCCTATTGTTTATGCCGGCTCGCATTACTTTAAACTGCAAAAACGTATTAAATAAAGAAAACATATATAATGTAAAGAACAAATTAACAGTGTTAAGAACAAATTAACAGAAACTCCAAGTTGGATACTATCTGATTAAGGTAAGTATATATGTACGAAACAAAATGTAACGACAGTTTAAAGTTGAATACAAATAGAGATTCAGAAAAAATGTAAAATACCACATACCACATCTACTGCCATTCCAGTAAAAGCCATCAAAACAAATACAAACTGTTCCGTTACAGTATGCGTTGCAATCTGTACATGTATTCAGTCCACCTGGACACCTTTCAGTTACTCTTGTTCCATCTTAAAAAGGAAAACTATTATTAAAAGATTGTAATAGTATTGAATTGGAGGAATATATGCAAACATTTGTTTAAATGTTTGATTTATTTCATCTTGACATATTCAGGATTGAGACAAAAACAAAAAGATTTCATAACTCATTATTCAGACGAAAACATAGATGAGCCGCGTCACGACAAAACCAACATAATGGGATTGCGACAAACATGGATTGAGACCAGCCTGCCCGTCTGCGCAGTCTGATCAGGATCCATGCTGTTCGCTTTCAGTTTCTCTACTTGTTATAGATTATGTAAGCGAACAGCCTGGATCCTGATCAGACTGCGCAGATGCGCAGGCTGGTCTAAATCCATGCTGGTCGCAAAACCATTATGTTGGTTTTGTCGTGACGCGTCTCATATATCTAGTTTAAAGACTATACCTACTACGAAGGCTTAAAATTATCTCCTAAATATCGAAGTTGGTACAAAATCAGTTTGAAAGTAGGTTTAATAGCAAAAGCAAAGCCTATTTCTCTAGTAATGATTAAATGTTAAATGCAAGGAAGGAATGAAATTGCAATAGTCATAACCAACGTATTTACGACCATTTAGCATTTTTAACCATTGTTTGGTTATTTACGTGGACTGAAAGTGCATTTTTCATTGGTGAATCAGTTTATTTGTTCACATGACAATACTTTACATTTTGATTCATTTTTTTAAATTCTGTGAAAATTACCATGAATCTGGAGGCATGCTATTGGAATACTTTAAATTTAAATTATGTGCTAGTTTTAGAATACTTACAGCACTCTCCATCGTACTGTATAGGAATTGCAGGTGGACATTCACATCTGCCGGATTCAGCGCCACAAACTAAGTCGCCTCCACATGAGTCAGGCTGATAACCGCAATCGTCACATAATGCTGACCCAACTGTTGAAATAAATCAAGCAAATTTAAATGTCCGACAAAACCTTTAATCAGTTGTATTTTGATTATACAAATATCGTCATTTCCTACATTCTTAAATAATTTAGTTAAAGTCACATTATGCCCATTGAAGGAAATATAGTGAATGACCAGGAGAAAGTCAAAATAAGTTTGCATGTTACTTATATATAGTTCCTTTCAATTTCATGATTTACCCCGCATGAACAATAAAGTACTCAAAAGGTCTAAGGAAATTTCTGTAAATATGCATCACACTATGAAAGGGATGGGGCAGACATTATATATATTCAAGGCAGTTGTACTTCTTTATCTTCAATATTTTCAAATATCAACTGTTGGACAATCACCATTGTAACAGTCACTTGAAATATATACTCCATTCAGCTCAGCTTTAGAATGAAAGAATGAGAAAAATGTCACTTCTAATAAACTAAATGAACAAGATTCGTGACCTTTTTCAAATTATTCCATATATGAAATAAATTTAAAAGTACCGCAATGAGTTCCGTTCCAATGATAGCCATCAACACAATCGCACACTGTTCCATTGCAGAATGCATGGCGATCTGTGCAAGTATTTAATGTAGTCGTGCATGTTTCTGTGACTTTAGTTCCATCTGTAACATGTCGGGAAAGGATGATGTAAATACAAGCTATTAATCTATTAAAGAAGCTCTACTAAAGTCGATAAAGCCTAGAAACGTGAAATTTAATCTTTCTAACACAGATCATAGAGCAATTTAAAGCAGAAAGATATACAAAAGTGAGAAATACAGCTATTTTATGCCGTTCTTAACAAAGCGTTTCAAATGTTTTCAATTGAGGGTAATTCTTCATAATTAAATTCAATATTAACATATTTTTCTGGTAAGAGTATCACCGAGAAGTCGGAAAAATTGCATGCATCCCAGATTGAGCAAAACAGTTTTTTTTAAATCTACTTTGTGAAAAATGTAACAAAAGTTTTAGAAAAGAAACGATATTTATTACTCTAGTAATGATTTACGTGTTAAATGCAAGGATTGAATGAAATTGCAATAGTCATAACCAACGTATTTACGACCATTTAGCATTTTTAACCATTGTTTGGTCATTTACGTGGACTGAAAGTGCCTTTTTCATTGGTGAATCAGTTTATTTGTTCACTTGACAATTCTTTACTTTTTGATTCATTTTTTAAATTTTGTGAAAATTACCATGAATCTGGAGGCATGCTAATGGAATACTTTAAATTTAAATTATGTGCTAGATTTAGAATACTTACAGCACTCTCCGTCGTACTGTATAGGAAGTGCAGGTGGACATTCACATCTGCCGGACTCAGCGCCACAAACTAAGTCGCCTCCACATGAGTCAGGATGATAACTGCAATCGTCACATAATGCTGACCCAACTGTTGAAATAAATCAAGCAAATTTAAATGTCCGACAAAACCTTTAATCAGTTGTATTTTGATTATACAAATATCGTCATTTCCTACATTCTTAAATAATTTAGTTAAAGTCACATTATGCCCATTGAAGGAAATATAGTGTATGACCAGGAGAAAGTCAAAATAAGTGTGCATGTTTCTTATATATAGTTCCTTTCAATTTCATGGTTTACCCCGCATGAACAATAAAGTACTCAAAAGGTCTAAGGAAATTTCTGTAAATATGCATCAGACTATGAAAGGGATGGGGCAGACTTTATATATATTCAAGGCAGTTGCTCTTCTTTATCTTCAATATTTTCAAATATCCACTGTTGGACAATCACCATTGTAACAGTCACTTGAAATATATACTCCATTCAGCTCAGCTTTAGAATGAAAGAATGGGAAAAATGTCACTTCTAATAAACAAAATGAACAAGATTCGTGACCTTTTTCAAATTATTCCATATATGAAATAAATTTAAAAGTACCGCAATGAGTTCCGTTCCAATGATAGCCATCAACACAATCGCACACTGTTCCATTGCAGAATGCATGGCGATCTGTGCAAGTATTTAATGTAGTCGTGCATGTTTCTGTGACTTTAGTTCCATCTGTAACATGTCGGGAAAGGATGATGTAAATACAAGCTATTAATCTATTAAAGAAGCTCTACTGAAGTCGATAAAGTCTAAAAACGTGAAATTTAATCTTTCTAACATAGATCATAGAGCAATTTAAAGCAGAAAGATATACAAAAAATGAGAAATACAGCTATTTTATGCCGTTCTTAACAAAGCGTTTCAAATGTTTTCAATTTAGGGTAATTCTTCATAATTAAATTCAATATTAACATATTTTTCTGGTAAGAGTATCACCGAGAAGTCGGAAAAAATGCATGCATCCCAGATTGAGCAAAACAATTTTTCTTATATCTACTTTGTGAAAAATGTAACAAAAGTTTTAGAAAAGAAACAATATTTATTACTCTAGTAATGATTTACGTGTTAAATGCAAGGAATGAATGAAATTGCAATAGTCATAACCAACGTATTTACGACCATTTAGCATTTTTAACCATTGTTTGGTCATTTACGTGGACTGAAAGTGCTTTTTCTTTTTCATTGGTGAATCAGTTTATTTGTTCACTTGACAATACTTTACTTTTTGATTCATTTTTTAAATTTTGTTTGAAAATTACCATGAATCTGGAGGCATGCTATTGGAATACTTTAAATTTAAATTATGTGCTAGTTTTAGAATACTTACAGCACTCTCCGTCGTACTGTATAGGAAGTGCAGGTGGACATTCACATCTGCCGGACTCAGCGCCACAAACTAAGTCGCCTCCACATGAGTCAGGATGATAACTGCAATCGTCACATAATGCTGACCCAACTGTTGAAATAAATCAAGCAAATTTAAATGTCCGACAAAACCTTTAATCAGTTGTATTTTGATTATACAAATGATTGCAATCATACCATATTATTTTTAATTTTTAAATTTTTGATCTAGTGATGAATTTTTTTAAATTAGTGTAGTTTTAAATAACTTACAGACTTTACTTGTATTATAAATTTGTGGAATTCACACTGCCGGACAGGCCAATGAATCCTCAATGTAGTATTGCAATTAAAATCTACCACTCATATAAGGAATTAAGGTGGACAAAACCTTACGTTACACAAACAATCGCCCTACATTAAATAATGTAATCCCATAATGCCAAAGTAAATAATAAGACAAAAAGTCAAAAACTATATTTATTTTTCAATTTGTATTTCCCAAAATTGAAAATACAATCAAAAGAAAATTATGAAAAATCAAATAAGGTGGCATGTTATATATATTCATCATTTCTATTTCCCATATTCAAATCTCATGTGAAATCACATCAACTATAAATATATCTTTCAGCTTGCTTTATAAATTAAATCACTTTAAACAAAACCTTAAATTTCCATTAAATTGATTTACCCCGCATGAACAATAAAGTACTCAAAAGGTCTAAGGAAATTTCTGTAAATATGCATCAGACTATGAAAGGGATGGGGCAGACTTTATATATATTCAAGGCAGTTGTACTTCTTTATCTTCAATATTTTCAAATATCCACTGTTGGACAATCACCATTGTAACAGTCACTTGAAATATATACTCCATTCAGCTCAGCTTTAGAATGAAAGAATGGGAAAAATGTCACTTCTAATAAACAAAATGAACAAGATTCGTGACCTTTTTCAAATTATTCCATATATGAAATAAATTTAAAAGTACCGCAATGAGTTCCGTTCCAATGATAGCCATCAACACAATCGCACACTGTTCCATTGCAGAATGCATGGCAATCTGTGCAAGTATTTAATGTAGTCGTGCATGTTTCTGTGACTTTAGTTCCATCTGTAACATGTCGGGAAAGGATGATGTAAATACAAGCTATTAATCTATTAAAGAAGCTCTACTGAAGTCGATAAAGCCTAGAAACGTGAAATTTAATCTTTCTAACATAGATCATAGAGCAATTTAAAGCAGAAAGATATACAAAAGTGAGAAATACAGCTATTTTATGCCGTTCTTAACAAAGCATTTCAAATGTTTTCGATTGAGGGTTATTCTTCATAATTAAATTCAATATTAACATATTTTTCTGGTAAGAGTATCACCGAGAAGTCGGAAAAAATGCATGCATCCCAGATTGAGCAAAACAATTTTTTTATTAAATCTACTTTGTGAAAAATGTAACAAAAGTTTTAGAAAAGAAACGATATTTATTACTCTAGTAATGATTTACGTGTTAAATGCAAGGAATGAATGAAATTGCAATAGTCATAACCAACGTATTTATGTTTACGACCAATTAGCATTTTTAACCATTGTTTGGTCATTTACGTGGACTGAAAGTGCCTTTTTCATTGGTGAATCAGTTTATTTGTTCACTTGACAATACTTTACTTTTTGATTCATTTTTTAAATTTTGTGAAAATTACCATGAATCTGGAGGCATGCTATTGGAATACTTTAAATTTAAATTATGTGCTAGTTTTAGAATACTTACAGCACTCTCCATCGTACTGTATAGGAAGTGCAGGTGGACATTCACATCTGCCGGATTCAGCGCCACAAACTAAGTCGCCTCCACATGAGTCAGGATGATAACTGCATTCGTCACATAATGCTGACCCAACTGTTGAAATAAATCAAGCAAATTTAAATGTCCGACAAAACCTTTAATCAGTTGTATTTTGATTATACAAATATCGTCATTTCCTACATTCTTAAATAATTTAGTTAAAGTCACATTATGCCCATTGAAGGAAATATAGTGAATGACCAGGAGAAAGTCAAAATAAGTTTGCATGTTACTTATATATAGTTCCTTTCAATTTCATGATTTACCCCGCATGAACTATAAAGTACTCAAAAAGGTCTTAGGAAATTTCTGTAAATATGCATCAGACTATGAAAGGGATGGGGCAGACTTTATATATTCAAGGCAGTTGTACTTCTTTATCTTCAATATTTTCAAATATCCACTGTTGGACAATCACCATTGTAACAGTCACTTGAAATATATATGCCATTCAGCTCAGCTTTAGAATGAAAGAATGAGAAAAATGTCACTTCTAATAAACAAAATGAACAAGATTCGTGACCTTTTTCAAATTATTCCATATATGAAATAAATTTAAAAGTACCGCAATGAGTTCCGTTCCAATGATAGCCATCAACACAATCGCACACTGTTCCATTGCAGAATGCATGGCGATCTGTGCAAGTATTTAATGTAGTCGTGCATGTTTCTGTGACTTTAGTTCCATCTGTAACATGTCGGGAAAGGATGATGTAAATACAAGCTATTAATCTATTAAAGAAGCTCTACTGAAGTCGATAAAGCCTAGAAACGTGAAATTTAATCTTTCTAACATAGATCATAGTGCAATTTAAAGCAGAAAGATATACAAAAGTGAGAAATACAGCTATTTTATGCCGTTCTTAACAAAGCATTTCAAATGTTTTCAATTGAGGGTAATTCTTCATAATTAAATTCAATATTAACATATTTTTCTGGTAAGAGTATCACCGAGAAGTCGGAAAAAATGCATGCATCCCAGATTGAGCAAAACAATTTTTTTTTAAAATCTATTTTGTGAAAAATGTAACAAAAGTTTTAGAAAAGAAACGATATTTATTACTCTAGTAATGATTTACGTGTTAAATGCAAGGAATGAATGAAATTGCAATAGTCATAACCAACGTATTTACGACCATTTAGCATTTTTAATCATTGTTTGGTCATTAACGTTGACTGAAAGAGCCTTTTTCATTGGTGAATCAGTTTATTTGTTCACTTGACAATACTTTACTTTTTGATTCATTTTTTAAATTTTGTGAAAATTACCATGAATTTGGAGGCATGTTATTGGAATACTTTAAATTTAAATCATGTGCAAGTTTTAACATACTTACAGCACTCTCCATCGTACTGTATAGGAAGTGCAGGTGGACATTCACATCTGCCGGATTCAGCGCCACAAACTAAGTCGCCTCCACATGAGTCAGGATGATAACTGCAATCGTCACATAATGCTGACCCAACTGTTAATAAATCAAGCAAATTTAAATGTCCGACAAAACCTTTTATCAGTTGTATTTTGATTATACAAATATCGTCATTTCCTACATTCTTAAATAATTTAGTTAAAGTCACATTATGCCCATTGAAGGAAATATAGTGAATGACCAGAAGAAAGTCAAAATAAGTGTGCATGTTACTTATATATAGTTCCTTTCAATTTTATGATTTACCCCGCAAGAACAATTATAAAGTACTCAAAAGGTCTAAGGAAATTTCTGTAAATATGCATCAGACTATGAAAGGGATGGGGCAGACTTTATATATATTCAAGGTAGTTGTACTTCTTTATCTTCAATATTTTCAAAAATTCACTGTTGGACAATCACCATTGTAACAGTCACTTGAAATATATACTCCATTCAGCTCAGCTTTAGAATGAAAGAATGGGAAAAATGTCACTTCTAATAAGCAAAATGAACAAGATTCGTGACCTTTTTCAAATTATTCCATATATGAAATAAATTTAAAAGTACCGCAATGAGTTCCGTTCCAATGATAGCCATCAACACAATCGCACACTGTTCCATTGCAGAATGCATGGCAATCTGTGCAAGTATTTAATGTAGTCGTGCATGTTTCTGTGACTTTAGTTCCATCTGTAACATGTCGGGAAAGGATGATGTATATACAAGCTATTAATCTATTAAAGAAGCTCTACTGAAGTCGATAAAGCCTAGAAACGTGAAATTTAATCTTTCTAACATAGATCATAGTGCAATTTAAAGCAGAAAGATATACAAAAGTGAGAAATACAGCTATTTTATGCCGTTCTTAACAAAGCGTTTCAAAGTTTTCAATTGAGGGTAATTCTTCATAATTAAATTCAATATTAACATATTTTTCTGGTAAGAGTATCACCGAGAAGTCGGAAAAAATGCATGCATCCCAGAGTGAGCAAAACATTTTTTTTTTAAATCTACTTTGTGAAAAATGTAACAAAAGTTTTAATAAAGAAACGATATTTATTACTCTAGTAATGATTTACGTGTTAAATGCAAGGAATGAATGAAATTGCAATAGTCATTACCAACGTATTTACGACCATTTAGCATTTTTAACCATTGTTTGGTCATTTACGTTGACTGAAAGTGCCTTTTTCATTGGTGAATCAGTTTATTTGTTCACTTGACAATACTTTACTTTTTGATTCATTTTTTAAATTTTGTGAAAATTACCATGAATCTGGAGGCATGCTATTGGAATACTTTAAATTTAAATCATGTGCAAGTTTTAACATACTTACAGCACTCTCCATCGTACTGTATAGGAAGTGCAGGTGGACATTCACATCTGCCGGATTCAGCGCCACAAACTAAGTCGCCTCCACATGAGTCAGGATGATAACTGCATTCGTCACATAATGCTGACCCAACTGTTGAAATAAATCAAGCAAATTTAAATGTCCGACAAAACCTTTAATCAGTTGTATTTTGATTATACAAATATCGTCATTTCCTACATTCTTAAATAATTTAGTTAAAGTCACATTATGCCCATTGAAGGAAATATAGTGAATGACCAGGAGAAAGTCAAAATAAGTGTGCATGTTACTTATATATAGTTCCTTTCAATTTCATGATTTACCCCGCATGAACAATAAAGTACTCAAAAGGTCTAAGGAAATTTCTGTAAATATGCATCAGACTATGAAAGGGATGGGGCAGACTTTATATATTCAAGGCAGTTGCTCTTCTTTATCTTCAATATTTTCAAATATCCACTGTTGGACAATCACCATTGTAACAGTCACTTGAAATATATACTCCATTCAGCTCAGCTTTAGAATGAAAGAATGGGAAAATGTCACTTCTAATAAACAAAATGAACAAGATTCGTGACCTTTTTTCAAATTATTCCATATATGAAATAAATTTAAAAGTACCGCAATGAGTTCCGTTCCAATGATAGCCATCAACACAATCGCACACTGTTCCATTGCAGAATGCATGGCAATCTGTGCAAGTATTTAATGTAGTCGTGCATGTTTCTGTGACTTTAGTTCCATCTGTAACATGTCGGGAAAGGATGATGTAAAAACAAGCTATTAGTCTATTAAAGAAGCTCTACTAAAGTCGATAAAGCCTAGAAACGTGAAATTTAATCTTTCTAACACAGATCATAGAGCAATTTAAAGCAGAAAGATATACAAAAGTGAGAAATACAGCTATTTTATGCCGTTCTTACAAAGCGTTTCAAATGTTTTCAATTCAGGGTAATTCTTCATAATTAAATTCAATATTAACATATTTTTCTGGTAAGATTATCACCGAAAAGTCGGAAAAAATGTATGCATCCCAGATTGAGCAAAACAATTTTTTTTTTAAAAATCTACTTTGTGAAAAATGTAACAAAAGTTTTAGAAAAGAAACGATATTTATTACTCTAGTAATGATTTACGTGTTAAATGCAAGGAATGAATGAAATTGCAATAGTCATAACCAACGTATTTACGACCATTTAGCATTTTTAATCATTGTTTGGTCATTAACGTTGACTGAAAGTGCCTTTTTCATTGGTGAATCAGTTTATTTGTTCACTTGACAATACTTTACTTTTTGATTCATTTTTTAAATTTTGTGAAAATTACCATGAATCTGGAGGCATGCTATTGGAATACTTTAAATTTAAACCATGTGCAAGTTTTAAAATACTTACAGCACTCTCCATCGTACTGTATAGGAAGTGTAGGTGGACATTCACATCTGCCGGATTCAGCGCCACAAACTAAGTCGCCTCCACATGAGTCAGGATGATAACTGCAATCGTCACATAATGCTGACCCAACTGTTGAAATAAATCAAGCAAATTTAAATGTCCGACAAAACCTTTAATCAGTTGTATTTTGATTATACAAATATCGTCATTTCCTACATTCTTAAATAATTTAGTTAAAGTCACATTATGCCCATTGAAGGATATATAGTGAATGACCAGGAGAAAGTCAAAATAAGTTTGCATGTTACTTATAAATAGTTCCTTTCAATTTCATAATTTACCCCGCATGAACAATAAAGTACTCAAAAGGTCTAAGGAAATTTCTGTAAATATGCATCACACTATGAAAGGGATGGGGCAGACTTGATATATTCAAGGCAGTTGTACTTCTTTATCTTCAATATTTTCAAATATCAAATGTTGGACAATCACCATTGTAACAGTCACTTGAAATATATACTCTATTCAGCTCAGCTTAAGAATAAAAGAATGAGAAAAATGTCACTTCTAATAAACAAAATGAACAAGATTCGTGACTTTTACCAAATTATTCCATATATGAAATAAATTTAAAAGTACCGCAATGAGTTCCGTTCCAATGATAGCCATCAACACAATCGCACACTGTTCCATTGCAGAATGCATGGCGATCTGTGCAAGTATTTAATGTAGTCGTGCATGTTTCTGTGACTTTAGTTCCATCTGTAATATGTCGGGAAAGGATGATGTAAATACAAAGCTATTAATCTATTAAAGAAGCTCTACTGAAGTCGATAAAGCCTAGAAACGTGAAATTTAATCTTTCTAACATAGATCATAGAGCAATTTAAAGCAGAAAGATATACAAAAGTGAGAAATACAGCTATTTTATGCCGTTCTTAACAAAGCGTTTCAAATATTTTCAATTGAGGGTAACCCTTCATAATCAAAATAGTAGCAGAGAGCGCAATTTATTTATAATTTTACTTTACCATCAAATAGAATTCTGAAAAACAAATTCACAGCTCCTGTTTTTGTCAAAAAAAACCTTAGTTGAGTCCGTTTTAGAATAATAGGTTCTTACAAAAATTAACAATCTGATCAATATCTTATAAAAAAAAGTACGGAACTGTAACAAACATATATAAAATATGGCAAGTTTCTTTTTTCTAAGATTATCAGTTTCTGATAAGATTGATGCTGCATGATCATGAGTAATCACGATTTGAGCCGTGTCATGACAAAACCAACATAATGGCTTTGCGACCAGCATCGATCCAGACCAGCCTGCGCATCCGCGCAGTCTGATCAGGATCCATGCTGTTCGCTTACAGACCCTATAACAAGTAAAGAAACTGATAACGAACAGCATGTATCCTGATCAGACTGCGCGGATGCGCGGGCTGGTCTGGATCCATGCTGATCGCAAACCCATTATGTAAATTTTGTCGTGACGCGGCTCATTTGTTAATGTTAATAAATAATGAACTTAATAGCAATTCGACACTCTTTTTTGAACATGCGCAGTTAAACTCTGGCACTATACGTACAACATGTATCTCCAATTAAGACTTGATTTGCACCACAGAACGATATACCATCACACGGGAATGATGTGAGAAATGTTGTAAAGTCAACTGTAAGTTATATAAAATGCATGATTGAAAATGTTCAAATAGAGATGTGAACGAATCAAATCGACTTAAAACTTTTAACACAATGTTGTGAAAAAAAGATAATTTCAAATATATGAATGAAGGATATAGTGAAGTATCTGACTTATTATCTAGTTTATATATGTACATGAATCTCGCTGTTTTAAATGAAGATACTAACGAGCAAACATTCATGACGCAAGAATCCACATGTAAGTGTTCTGTAACAGAGAATTGTTCGCAAGATCTTTAAAGTTCTGGTTTGACAAGAAACTACAAAATACGACTATAATGTTAAAAATATAAAATACTTGAATGGCAATCGACGCAATTTCCTTTTTGGTCAAGGATGAAACCATGCGCGCATAAACAAATCCCTTCTGCTTGATCGCACACAGCATTATCATCTTTACACTGATCAGTTGTAGTGCAGTTTTCACCAACGCATACCTCTAATGATTGAAATAACAAGTCAAATAATTTGTATGTAGGAAACAATCAGTAAAAAGTTTCTTCTAAGTTGGTTACAAGTTGTTGTTGTATCTTTTTATAGAAATTAATGACTCTTAATTTCGATCATTACTCTGAAAATAACTTAATATTTTTTATTATTTCCGGTTAAATTCAATTTTGTTGTTAAAATGAACTGAACCCGTCGTCTCTACATTTCTTACTGCAAAATATTAGGCATAATCTATTATTTTGTAATCTTTTAAATTTAATGAGTTTTTGTCAATAACTCTACGTCTCACCTTTGTTTCATAGCAATAAAAAGGAACGAAAGCAAGGGAAAGGCTTGTAAATAAAATAATGCGGTAAAAGTGTGAGGTTATATATGCATTATATGTAAAACTGATAAAATGTGTGTAAAAAGTTATAATTTGCCATAATTTGCATGAAAACTAAGGAAATCTAATAATCGCTTGTCATCAATGAAAAACAAGTTAAATGAGAAAATTGAAGGGGTCTGTTACAGAAAAATAATGTAACAGCATTAACTGTATTACATTTTCAACTGTGTGGCAATTTCAACAGCGTTTATAACTCGTTATTGTAGGTACGGTCATTCTAGATATAAGATATGCCTTGAGCAATAACACATTAGAAAGAAATAGAGCATTGATTGCAGACTTTGTTTAAATCTGAAAGGTCATGAAAACGTTATCAATTGCAATCAAATACTTTAGATAATATAAGAATTTCTTCAGTCTATCTAATTTGAAAAATGTGTTCTGCTATAAAGGTATCAGAAGCTTTACTATTGAAATGTCTTTACAGTGATATTTAATATAATGAACAAGTAGAAAAACATAAGGAAAGGCAAATTAAGAAGCAAAACGATCGTCCAAAAAGAAGAATAAAAAATAAAACAATGCTAGTTTGGAAGGTACAATTAACAATCACGTTTTGGTACTTCTTTAAACACCAATCAGTACCGACTTCGCATAGTGTACATAATAGTGTGCAAGCATACGGCTTGTCAAATATACCCTTCCAATTGGTTTTGTTAAAGATCGGTCTACAATACCCTTTAAAGTAAGGGTTTGCCACAATGAATATTATAAATGTATAAAGGCAATCGCATTAAAACCGTGTCAAATATAATGACGCTATCACTAACGGACATCTGACATTTTGGAGTTGGCTATCCACTTCCAAAGTGTATGCTACATGTTATTATATAACAAATAATGATTCTTTAAAAATGTCAAGGAATAGATAAAGTTTAATATTTATTGAAGCAAGCGAATTATAACATATAAAAAGTCATATGTTTTATATAATTATACTGGAAGCAAAAACGACATAGCAAGCCATGTGTTTACTGCAAACTTATGAAACCAATCACGAAAGGTCATGTGATTATCATAATTATATTGATAGCAATCAAGACCTTACAAGTCACGAAATTATATGAAATGCAAGTAAGAAATAAGTCATGCGTTAATATAGCTACAATGAAAGCAAATTCGACATGACATGTCATGTGTCAAATATAATTATATTGAAAGCAAGCACTGCATGTCAAACACTCGAAACAAGTTATTTGTTAAAAATATAATTATAATGAACGCAAGCATGATATAACAAGTAATTTGTTAGATACTTATATTTTGAAAGCTGGCGCGTCATAAAAAGACATGTGTTTTATATAATTGATATAATAATATTGAAAGGAAGTGCTACTTAAAAATACATGTGTTTTATATTATTATAATGAAAGAAAGTACGACAAAACAATAGAGACTGTGATATAGAGAAATGAGTCGCATAAAACAACCAAAACGAAGGCTCAGTGTGATTTAGCCTGTTCACGGACGGTAGTGGTAACTGTCACTGCAAACTACCAATGACACCCCCTCACTGAGGCTCTAACAGACTTTAACATTTAAATTATGTTCGTGCATGAAAAGCGACACATGATCCCCAAGTTAAAGAATGCGTTTGGCCTAAACAAATTGAAAAGAAGATCAGAAGTCATGCAGCATGCATTTCACAGACAAGACGTCGAAAGACGGATTTGAAACATGATGATATTGAAATTAAGCATTACAAGTCATTTCAAGTGTTAAAGTATAATGGTTAATGTATTACCAGGTGGCGGTGGTGCTGTAAATAAAAGTAAATTACTTTAGTTCAAGGTCAGTGGTTTGTTTCAAAGTCACTATGTTTAATTTAAAGAATAATAAAATGAATTTCCAATCTAACAACTGAAACCGTTTGTGACTAGCCTTTTCCAGAGTCAGTCAAGCGTACTATTGAAGGACAAACTTTCCTCTTGATGCCACAAATATGATAATGAACATTAAAACAAGCATGATAGACAAGTATCTTTTTAATATGTTTAGCAGGTTAATGCATAATAGTACACTTTCTATCACCAAAGCTTATTTTCATTTGTTATTCAACATCATTGTTAACTAACCTTATTTCAAATAAAAAGACTGATATTTTGTCAACATGCTGACTGTTTACAATTGTGTTCATATCAGCCAGTAATTTGCAAAAAAATATACGAACATACTTATGATTTTATAATACGCGTGTATATAAACAAATCTTTCATTCACATTTTCAAACTATATTATACAACATGCTAATGGAGGACATAAGAAAACAACATTTTTTCTATCTTTACTTCTACTTTCCTTTCCATTCTGATTACTTCCAGTTTATAAACGAATAATTTTAAATGAGCCGTGTCATGACAAAACCAACATTATGGGTTTGCGACCAGCATGGATCCAGACCAGCCTGCGCATCCGCGTAGTCTAATCAGGATCCATGCTGTTCGCTATCAGTTTCTCTACTTGTTATAGAGTTTGTAAACGAACAGCATGGGTCCTGATCAGACTGTGCGAATGCGCAGGCTGGTCTGGATCCATGCTGGTCGCAAACCCATTATGTTGGTTTTTTCATGAGGGCTCAAATAGTATTTCATTTTATATTTGGCAGAAATATGATATTTTCTCTAATTATTTTAAAATGAAACACTCATAACTTGTAATGTTATGTCAACGTTTTTTTTCTTTAAACAAGATAGGTGTTGTTAGTTAGTTTGCTGTTGTTTTTAAATGTTTCTCCGTAATTAATAATTATAATATATATTATATTGTTACTGTTATACTGTATCTTACGTTTGTACAAAAGTCATTGACATCCTTCTAAATCTTGTTGCTAAACTGCAGCGTGATTTGTTTATATATTCATATGTATGTAACGAAATAAATAGTATTTAAAATTATAAAACTCATTCTTCAAAATCTTGTTTCCTAAAACTTTCTGTGTAAAAAACAATTCTCACGCCTGGCAAGATAGCACTTATCATTGTGGAACATATTTATTTAAAAAAAAAAAAACTTTTATATAGTAGTAAAATGCAATTATCATTGCTTAACATATTTATAAACGAAACTTACCTTTTCTTTCAACGCGAACATTATTAATAAAAGAATCTTTTTCTTTCATCATATCATATGAATGTGCATTGTTTGCACTATATCACTAGTTTACACGAGAAAAATTGAATTAAAATGACTTACTGCAAATTTCTTGTAACACTAAATCAAGTATAGTATCAAGGTCGTCGAAATTATCAACAGTGAAGATCAAAGACCGATCAGATGCTATATAATTCAGCTCGTATATATCAAAATCTTTAACTCCAACTGCAATTGACTAAATTAAAAAGAGCAGAGCATTTCAGTTTTAACAAATTTTAGACATAGGTGACATAAAAGCATCTTAAAATATAAAAAACTTACATGATAAAAACGTATAAAACTATACATTTACTGTGTGAGAATTGTAAAGTTTGTGTTTATATTATAATTAAAATCAGTGCAAAAAAATCAATTAAAAAGTCTGTCGTTAAATATCTTCACAAAGACATAATATAATACAGTACTGTTAAATCTGGAAACATTGCTTTCAGTTCGTCAACCCGATCATCTAGAAGGTCTTGTCCACCATCGTTTGTCTCTCCGTCTGTTAATGTGAACAAAACATCAGGTACATCTGGTCTATTTCCTGGTCCACTAAACATATTTTTAGCTGCTTGTATGGCAAGATCAGTTCTTGTGCTGCCACCTGAGTAACTGGAATATGATTAATAAAATTAACTACTTCACTGTGATTAGTATCAAGGTATGATCCATTCAGTCGTTACTTTGCTTGTCGGGAGTTATCAATGAAAAGAGCAGATTATTTTCTTTAGTACACTTTGGCACGCTAGAACCGATGGGATAGTTTTGTTTGGAAAAAGATATAGCTGCAGATACTACCATCTTGCTGTATCCGTTCTTTGAGTAGTTATTTTACCTATCGGTTGTCTCCGCAAGGTGACATATTCTAAGGTATTGGTAAATCAAAAAGTCTAACTCCCTCAATTTCCCTGGAAATGGTGGGCGTTGGCATGATTGTCGAAAACATAGAAACAAACGATGTTCTTAATTTTCTATTTATACAATATCTGTGCACGCATATGTTTACATTGTAAAATATAAGAGCAACTGAAATTCATTCAAGACCTTCTATTGTTTCAATTTAACAAAAACTGTAACTCCATTTATCAGGACCACGTAAATTATGAAAATGAAGATCAACAAGGAAGGCCGGCTTTCAATGAACGCATAAAAAAATCCACCAACTCAGATCCACCGGTATGGAGCCAATCAGGGCACCTAATAAACCAGGACAGAGTACAAAGTCAAAGCGAGGATGGGGCGTTATTATGAATAATTCAGTAAAGGTATTTTTGAGGTTATTATAAAAGACCATTAAGTTTGTAGGGGGAGGTTCGGGAGGGCAGAGAAAAAAAGTTTGGACAGGAAAACGTAAACGTTTTGGTGAGCGGGGATACTCACAGTTGACGAGAAAACAAGAAGGGACCCCAAATGTGTTACTACAATTAGGATATTTCAATCAATAACAAAAACATTTAAGAAAAATAGGAGGCGCTGCCTTGGAACGGTCTGAAGTTTAAACTGGTAAATGGTGTACCAAACTTCAATCTTAATCCCAATATTTTGTAAATACATTAAATCCCGGCCACAGTTGTTGTGGCTTAGTAAGTACTTCGCCAATATGGTCATGTAGAAACATGTAGAAAGAAAACTCATATGAACAGATATATACTGATTGTCTTAAAGAATGACGAAACGACAAGTATATCACCTACACGGTTCGGCGAAGCAAGACAGAAGCTTAAGTAAGGCAATTCAGTTTTAATGTGTTTGAAGAACTGTCCATCATAGAGTCACCCACTTGGTCCGTCACATGTTATGAAAAGAGAACAGCATTGTGTCGAACTGTAAACTTTGTAATTGAAATATACGAATTATTGTAGAACTGTTCAATGAACGCAGCCACTACACGACCCAGCAATACATGACCACAGGCAAGGATCCCGGCAGGACCCAAATAAAACCAGGACAGGGCACAAGGCAAAGCTATGACGAGGTGATAACTATAATAACATATAATAGGAAATATTAGAAACAGACAATGAAATTAAACAGACGATTAATTAATCAAACGTAAAGTGTTGTTGGAGAAAGGGGCGAGAAGGTCGTGGGGGGATTGAAATGAAACAAAACTAGGCGGAAAGAGAAGATACTTACCGTAGACGAATAAACAACAAGGACACAAAAGTGTCAACATAATAGTATTAAACAACAGACATGATACTTTTGTAGAGGACCACAGGGTGATGATAAATGCAAAAAAAATCTGACTATGGGCATAATAATGTCTGTGGAAGGAATTTTAAAAAAATTCATGTTTAAAGTCTATGTTAGCTCACTCCTCTATTAATTCCATCTATATAAATTTTTCCTAGGGCCACCTTAATATCATTCTTGTGAAGTTTGGTCTTTTATCAACGGACGACAAACAGATTGTCGTCACAAACTTTCCCTAGGAGAAATATTATGAACAAAACAAAAGTACAAATTGCCTTAAAGAGCATGCTCCGACGAAACAAGGCAGAGGGCGAAAGTGATGGGTTTTATGAACTGCCGATAGTAGAGTATCCCATTTGACCGGTCAGAGCAAAAGAAAGTGGCCAACTATCAAATGGTTGAGAAGTAAGCATACAAACATCTTAAAAGGATTGTTTCAAAACCTCTTGTAATATAATGTTTGCTAATTTTTGTAAAAGTAACTGATCCAATATCTCACGAAGTTTGTGTGTTATAAACAGGGTTGCTTATACTTTTTTTTTAAATTTAATTTGCACTTGAATTAAGATATGTATTCAAAAGTACAATGTTAAAATTTATAAAGCCTCGCGGAATATTATTGAGATATGAGCCGCGTCATGACAAAACCAACATGATGGATTTGCGACCAGCATGGATTCAGACCAGCCTGCGCATCCGCGCATTATGATCAGGATCCATGCTGTTCGCTATCAGTTTCTCTACTTGTTATAGGGTTTGTGAGCGAACAGCATAGATCCTGATCAGACTGCGCGGATGCGCAGGCTGGTCTGGATTCATGCTGGTCGCAAACCAATATGTTGGTTTTGTCATGACGCGGAACATTTGTCTTATTAGATGAAACACCTGTGTACATCTCCTTTCAAGTTTGGAAAATTTATAATATTATTCCCTGTTATTCTTACAATTTATAAAATTTATATGGGACGTATTGATAAGTATGGAAATATGTATACATTTTGTATCTCAATAAGATGTAACAGTATCCAAATTATTAGTTTTAATTAATTGTTATTCACTTTTAGATAACTTAAATATCATTTCATTTAAATATAGACCTTTTTACAATACGATTCTTCCATAGCAACCAAGGTTGCATTACGCGCGTGCGCATTCTGTGCAGGGCAAAAGCTCAACAGTGTATGATACTTTAAGGCTTTAATAGTCGTGATTCCATGTTATATCAACCAGAAAACAGTAATTTTGGGATGACTAAAAGCGGTAAGTACTTCAATCGATATTTATAACAGATATAATAAATATGCAGGACTAATAATCCAATGGTCAAAAGGCGCATACAAAAAAAAACCTCTGTTTAATGTATCATTAGACGACTTTTTCATCCGTTATTTAAATTGAAACAAGAGGGTGTTAATTATTAAATTTTATTATCCCTGTATTTCATAATATTACACAATGTGTATTGTACACTTCCTTTAGATTTGCAAGGCGGTAAGTGTCAAACAGATTGACACGCGACCGTGGTTGTTTGTTTCCAGGTAGACATTGTATAAATATCATTCAACCGGGACGTTTTAAAACCATGACATATCTAATCTCGTACAATTATGAAAATCGTAATTTAAGTAACTTTTATATATACCGATCTCATCAATGTTTATTGATTTGTGAAGTGACCAATAGTGTGACTTGCATTTATAAATATTAACATGTGTTATGAGGAACCAGATAAAATGAATGTAAATTCACTTTCCTTAAAGATTAAAAAAAAATAATTATTAAAAAACGGACTTAAAAATTATCTGTTTTGCATCACAGTCAAATAAAGGATAGAATCAGGTGAAAACCTGAACAATAAAAATGCACTATCATCGGGTCTGTTCTGACTATTTTCAGAATGCTAATTAACCTCAAATTCAAATGTTATAAAATTTCTTTTATATTTTTTATGAACTATTTCAACAACAATTTAGTTGACTCCCATTTGAAAAAAAGATATAATTCCACATTTTCTTAAAAAAAATCTGAATGTCAGATCCGTGACCGTAAGCGGGACCACCGTAAGGGGGAATTCTTAAGCAATTTCCTTTTCCATGCCTTTTTATGGCAATCTTTGCAACAAAGCTATAAAGGAATCTTTTCTATCTTTGTTTAAAGCTATTTTATATAATTTTCTACCTTTTACCTTAAACTTACTCGGAATTGTCTAGGAACTTCTTCTATATTTCATGTTAGATTATGGATTTTTTGCCCTGCGCAGTTTGCGCAAGTGCGGGGAAATACTACTTCCGGTCGATTTCTTATAGCAACGGACCGCGTCGTAAAAAGATCTATAGGCTATCAATATTCAGGATGTTATCTCAGTATCTTGAAGTACCATTAATTAAAATAAATAATTAAAATATACATAAACGATTAAATGTGCCACACTATATAAAGTAATAACAATAATGACTGATATCTTGGTTGCTGAGAAAGTTCAGTCTTTGACTTAAATTTGACCCACATGTCCCTTACAGCTGTAGCCTTTTATCCTACCATACATATTTAGGAACGTATCGAGCTTAATTACCGCGTACTGCTTATTGGTCTATGCCTGCAATGACTTGACAAAATGCAAATCAGTCAAAAGTTGATAAATCGTTTTTTAATGTGTAATTTAAATGTATATTTATACAAATATGTTATTTTTAAGAACCAACAGGGAAAACTTACGGTAAAGAATTAAGCTTAGCTATAACTTCGGCATTTGTATCGAAATTCGGATCATTCAAGTTGAATCCAAGGCTGGTGTGAACACTGGTCGAATAATCAATGAGGCCCATTCGGACTTCGTTTGGGTCAATTACTAACTCATTAACGATGGCTTTAATGAAATCAATCTCGTCATCATAACCGCTACTTCCAACGGATCCTGACGAATCAACAATGAAAACAATGTCAGCAGTGGCAGTTTGACAAATATCTGAAATGCAAACAAAAAAAGTATTTAGAAATAAATGTATTTATAGATAGATAAAATATTTGATGTCATTGTTGAACATTCAGTAAATCAAACTGACTTTTAATGTAGGTTAATCTAGTAAATCAAACCGACACTTAATGTTGGTTAATTTATGAATTTGGCATTGGCCAATCTGAGAGCACCCTTAACGTCACGTGCTCTCTAACAACCAATCAATTAACGGCATCAGCCTTTCTGGAAAAACTTTTAGAAGGGAAAAACACGCTACATCTGCTCTGCTATAATTTTACCACCACCTCCCGTTTTCATCCTCCTCAATGTGTTTTCTCAAGGGTTACCAATAGTCAATACTAATTTTAAAATGTTGTTTTGTATCAATTTTAAAATAATATTTGACAGATTATGCTGTTCCTTCATTAACTTAGATAAGTATGCAATTGTTGTTGTTGTTTCTGTATATTATTGTTAGGCGGTATTTGTTCACCCAGATGTGGGAAAATTATTTTATATGTATGTAATAAGGTTGTTTTGCTGCAAAACAAATTTGCCCGTTTTCAATCAATCATGATGTTGCTTTGGAATTTCCCCATACACAGTCCACAGAGTCATTGCTTTACTTTAAACAGATGCACATAAACGTTAGATTAGTTTTAGATTAATTGTGCAAATTAAAATAATAAACTCTTTAAAGTTAATGGATGAGAAACCAATTCTATATATAAAACGTTGTTAAATGAGTTGTTGTGAATAATAGGACTTCTGCTCCGTTGCATACTACCGGCTGAAACAGTAATCCGTTTTTAAGAAAAAAGTGCTGTAATATTCATCCATGGTCCTTTAGGATCATTGGGGTCCGGCACTTTAAAGTGTTGATAATTGATTACCGCTCAAGCAGGTGCTTGGGGTTGTGAGGGATGTTTCACATTTTTATTATCCTTCATGTACAGGCTCAATCAAACCGCGTTTGCAATTTTGCTTTTTTTAATGCTTCCGAGGGATCATTTTATTTCCAGATTTTCACTCAGATGAAGATAAATGCAACTGCCACACAGTAAGTAAAATCTTTTAGAAAGGGAGAATTTTTATCAGAACAACATTTCCAGTGAAATTTGTGGCCTTATTTTTGTAAAAAATAACAAAAAGAAAGCCCCAAACGGCAAAATAAAAAATGCTTTAGGCTCTGATTTATTGAGACTATACTATACACTTCGTCATAAGAGACAGTGAACATGTTTTTTTTTTTTGGAAAAAGGGAAATGGTATTTGTTTGTGTTCAGTATAAATAATAAAGTGTATCATACATCCTTTATTCTATGAGATCATGTCCGGACCATCTAAAATTTAGTTTCACCAATATAATATTTTACCATATTTTCTGGGAGTGAGTGATAAATGTAGAAAGAAATATGAAAGCCCTTGTGAGAGTTTTTTTTTCTGTTTTTTTTTTATTCGATAATCATCGTCTTAACTGCTTTGATTGTCGTATGTGTGTCTTTAAATTAGTTAATTAACTTATCCTGTTTTAAGTAGTTTTTTCTATTTATGTATATAAAATCAATATTAAAAATGTATATTTTCACTTCACAATGTAGTTTATTGAGACAGAGACAAATTTTACAATCACACTATGCAAGTTATATAAACAAGAAATAATTTGAGCCGTCTCATGACAAAACCAACATAATGGGTTTACAACCAGCATCCGCGCAGTCTGTTCAAGATCCATGTTGTTTGCTTACCAACCCTATAACAACTAGAGAAACTGATAGCGAACAGCATGGATTCTGATCAGACTGCGCGGACGCGCAGGCTGAGCTGGATCCATGCTCGTCGCAAACCCATTATGTTGGTTTTGTCATGACGCGTCTCATTTATTGATGCATTATATCTTTTTCAACATGTTCCGTAAAGGCAAATTATGCCTCGAATACAAACAAAAAGTTTATTATTTCGAAAGGGCAAACATGAGTTTCATTAAACGTGTTAGATAATTTTACCTGTAAAATGAGAGCTTGATGTGAAATAATTTCTCATATAAGTAGTAAAGTATTATTTTGATTTACATACTTAATACTAAATCACTATAATTGAATAACTGCCAAAAAACCAACAGAAAAAAGCGAAGGCTCAGGGAATTGTCCAGTGAGTAAAACTTTTAGGAAATTATATTAGGACACAAGAAAAAAACCTTTTGAGAAATAAAATAAAATAAAACTAGGGCATAATGAGCTATTGTTTAAATTTTTAAAAAAATCAGACGTTCGATTTATGAAATAACTTACCAGTTACGCTCCCTCCTGAAATTGAAAAAGTAAACACTGTAAACAGTTACTCAATAATTGATGAAATAAGAAGAATATTTCTAGCGTATATAATTCTTTGTTGAACGGTATATGTCATTGACACTTCCCAAAAATATCCTACTAAAATTATAGAATTGAAAAAGTAACAAATTAAACTTGACCTGTATGATTATTACATAACTACAGTAACGAGCTTGAGAGGTAGTGCGTTAAATAAAGTTTTGATGCAACTCTGAACTTATTGAAGCATAATCTATTTTTCTTTAATTAATTAATCAAGTATGTTAAAAAGAATCTTTCTAGAGCTTGAGATTATGGCGTAGATTGTTCTGACCATCAAATATTGCTCAGAGCTAAACATTGAAATAATCAAGTTTTACAATCATGAATCAACATGGTTATTCTGGTTAAAGTTTGTTAATCATGTCAATAATTAAAAGCGACTACTTTACTTACATCGTTGCAACAGGCTTTAATCTTTGTTTTTTGTATTTTCGAAATTATTAAACAATTAATTAATTATTAAACAAAACTGCACTCAAACTTATCATAATAAACAAAGAAAGTCCTTACCTCGCAGAACTAAGTTCATAAGGAGTATCGCTATATAGGCGTGCCGCATGATACCAGGAATGCCCATGTCACTGAGTTTCCTGAGGTACAAATTAAAAATTAACTTCCAAATCAATAATTCATATCGTTCGATAAGGTGGAAACTTTACTAAGAACGATTAAGATTTTAGATGTTTTGACCTCAAACCAGGTAATTTGTTGCCTTAAGAAAATATATAATCGTAAAAAGATAAATGAGCCGTGTCATGACAAAACCAACATTATGGGTTTGCGAACAGCATGGATCCTGATCAGACTGCGCGGATGCGCGGGCTGGTCTGGATCCATGCAGGTCGCAAACCCATAATGTTGGTTTTGTCATGACGTGGCTCAAATATACAAGATAATCATGCTTCTGTATGATATCAGATGAGTTTTCACAAATATATAAGAGACATCAATTTCGGTTTGGAAATGTTCAGCCATGTTTTAAAAAAGAGGATGCTCACAACACTTGTGAACAAATTCACCGTAATATTTATAATGTTTGTATTATTTACATCACATTTCAGTAATGTATCATTCAAAAACAGGCAGTTTTGCTATTAATCTAGAACAAAATAATTCTTTATCATCATGGCTACCTTTCATATTACTCATAATTTTATACTTTGAATCCATTTATGTGTCATGAATTACTCAAAATGTCAAAATCAAAAGCAGCATGGTTGTAACTTCATTAAAAATACATATATGAAAATCTTTTTCCACACAATAGTAAATACTCAATCAAGCTAAAACAATTACATGTATTCTTATATCATTCCCGAACCACCTAAGCGACCGTCTGCTATTTCAGAGAGATAGCTTTGCACATGCCTATTAATTTATTACCACACGAGTTACTTCCCTTATCCACTAAAAATCTTGAAAAGGATGAATCAATACAATTATCATCGGAGCCGATATCATCACATAGTATTAGCCGCGTCCGGTCACATTCATTAATCAACCAGAAGTGATCATCAGAACAGAACAGAACAGAGTTTATTTCATAACTTGTACACACATAGGTACATCGTTATTACAAGCATTTTTAAATATAATTATAGGTCACATATTTTACAATTACACATAAAGAAAAAACAAATCAATACAATACTGAGCAATGGGATATTTAATACATACAATGTGATACATTACATACACTGACAAAACTCCATTAATCAATTATATATCCATTTCTTTAAATTACTTCTGTAAATGAATAATGAAGAGTACTAAATTTAAGCGGAGAACAAACTATAACTTCGCTTTTAATCGAATTTGTTTGATAAATTATTTTTATAATAATATACTGAAAAAACATCAAGGTATATATAATCAAAACTGCATCATAATACTATTGAAGATTTCTGAAGTAATCATTTCGTTTGATGTTTGCCTTTTTTAAATAATAACATAAGTTTGTAAGTACTTTATGACTTTTAGATTGTAGTAGTTCTATAAATTTGGCCATACTAGGCCTAATGTAAAAATATCGCTTAATATATTGACTACGTAGATTTTCATAAGCACTGCATTTTAAAACAAAATGATATTCGTCTTCGAGTTCGTTAGTATCACAGAATTGACAAGTTCTTTCGTGGTGTTCTACATGGCCTCGACCATACCTTCCGGACTCAATTCTAAGTCTGTGAGAGGACACTCGAAGGCGTGTAAGAGCGCTTCTAAAAGATTTACAATTAATCTTATCTTAATATAATTCATAACAGAACTGATCTTTTACATATGAATATAGATGACTGAGCACACCATTACTAGATACATCTGCACGCCATTCTTGTAAATAACAATCGATAAGTCTTTGTTTAAAAACAGGTAAGAACTGTTTTAACAATACACTATCGGGAAAATTCCATATTTCGGCAAAACCAATTACCGCAAGCAGTTTTTTAATTTTACATGGCCAGTTATTTGTGCCATTTTCACATTTGTCACGGGCATTTTCGTAAATGCATTTTAATATACTGTTATCCGTATTCAGTAATTTAAACCAATACTTTATTATATGTGTGTACCTAATGATAAATAACGGATACCTCCCTAATTCCCCGTAGACCGATACGTTACTTGTACTTAATTTAACGCCCAAAATCGTTTTACAGTATTTGAGATTTACACGTTCTAACTCTTTGGACTTAGTGAAGCCCCAAACCGGGCAGGCATAGTTTAAGATAGATCCCACAAAAGCATCAAACAATTGAAGCGATATCGAATGGCTAAGTTCATATTGTTTTATATAATTTAGCAGTATATTTGAGGCTTTAAAGGCCTTTCCGACTATGTACTGGTTATTTAATACGAATGAGCCGGTATAATTAAACACCACCCCTAGGTAGTTGAAGTCATTAACTATTTCTAGAGGCACATTATTGAAATGCCAGCGCTCATTACATTTTAGTCCACCCCTACGACGAAACACCACTATCTTGGTCCTAGATGTGTTGACTTGTAGGCCCCAGTACTGGCATTACTCGTATAATTTGTCTAAACTGGCCTGCAAATCTTCAACAAAATGGCCAATAATTGCCATATCATCGGCGAATAGCAGTATGATAAGGCACATATCATAAATAGATAAACCTGATTTAATGGATCCTTGCAGGAAAAGTTCCAAGTCTTCAAGAAAAAGGGCAAACATGACTGGCGAATTATTTAGGCCTTGCCTCAATCCAATGGAAATATTGAAAAAGTCAGAATAGGAATCAGAATGTTTAACACAAGACTTAACTATATTATACATAGACCTAAACATTTTTAAAAGTTTTCCATCCAACCCAAGATGATACAATTTAAACCACAGTGCCTGTCGATAAACGGAGTCAAAAGCCTTTTGTAGATCTACAAATGCACATGGCAAACGTGACCCTTGCGAAATAACATGTTTTATGAGGTTATGTAATGCAAATATAGCATCTACAGTGCTGTGACCCTTTCTGAAACCGAACTGGGCGTCAGATAGAATATTATAACTTTCAAACCATTTCTCAACCCTAGCTGTTAACACACCAGTGAATAATTTTCCAAGGTTACTCAAAAGTGTAATGCCCCCATAGTTGTTAGGGTCATTTTTACTTCCCTTTTTGTGGATCGGTATTATATAACCTTGTGCCCATATATCTGGGAAATAACCTGAATTAAAAACAATATTAAAAAGATCTGTTAGATGGCCTCCATTGATATCAATCGATTCGATTAAGTATTCATTTAAAATATTGTCACTGGGACATGGCGATTTGTTACGGCCGAGTCGCTTGACTGCAGCGGTTACCTCCCCTAGTGTGATAGGTAAGTTAAGCTCACTGTATGTAGGATCATGTAAATTTAAATCATTATTATCGTTAAAATTTTCAATCTCATTTATAACAGTTGTCGGAATATTATTAAACAAATCTGAAAAATAATTTTTAAAATGCTCTACTGTTATATCATTTTGACATGACTGATTATTAGATTTAAAATATTTCCAAAACTCACGCGGTTTACTTTTTCTTAACTCCGAAAGCTTCCTACCTTCTTTCAATTTGTAAGCGCGTTTTTTCTTGCGCACTATATATTTAAACGTTTTACGCTGTTTGCAAAGTTCAATTCTATTTATTTCGGACTGGTTACTGTTATAATTGTGCAACGCGCGTTTATAAAGTATCTTATGGTCGACACATTCCTTATCATACCATATATTTAGATTTGCTTGGGAGGGTACATTATTTTTATATTCACGTTTGAACAGAGGCGACGCAACTTCCGAAATGATGTTTGTAAACATATCCACTGTGTAATCTATTCTATTTAAATCACTACAATCCGCACTTACAATAAGATCATCTACTGCTGTTCTCGACTCAAACACTACATACCCTGGACACGTAAACCCCAATATTAACAGTGATGCGAAAAATAATAGATATGCTGACTGGAAAAATGATCCTAAACAAAATTTGCGCAAGCCGTTCCCGAATTGCCAACCAAACATACCCCGAGGACGTGAAAAACAAAAAGCCCCCATGACTTCAGTACTCCCAATCGTTTTGACGCGTTCCATAAAGATCGCTCTGTGTCACTCAACCGAAAAAAGCAAAAAGCTCGATCACCACTAGAAGAAACATACGTGAAACGTGTCAACATAGGTAATACACCCGAAACCAATAACTGTTTATTACAAGGAGCAACAAATCCCGAAACGGATCAAACTATACCAAAACTCTTGTCACCCAAGGCAGGGCTTCAATCCGAATCAACAATTTAAATGGATAATGATGTGTATTCAAATACACCTGGTCACTAGGTCAGGCAGGGAGAGAATTATAACAGTAAAACTGATGACAAAAATTATTATAAGTGCTCGCCCGAACGGAATTATTGCGGTCAATGTGTAAATTCATCCTATATAGACCAAACGCAATTTTTCTCTGTTTTGTCATTGAATGTGTGTGGCTTAGTTTCTAAACAAAACACTCCCGAATTTTATTCATTGATACAAAAGTATGATGTTATCGGGTTTCAAGAAACAAAAACTGATTTTCTTGACTCGGTCCGATTTGAAAACTTTGATTTGTATTTTAAACATAGGAAGCATGTTGCATGAAGAAAATCGGGTGGGATTTGTGTGGCCTATAAACATAATATTAAACGATATATTTCTTTTGTTGACACAGCCAGTTCAAATGTCCAATGGTTCGTAATTTCTCATAAACTTAAATCGGTGATATATTGTATGGCGTAATATATGTGCCACCAGAAAATTCTATATACACGGTTGAAGACCCGTTTGCAGAATTGCAAGCAGAATCAGATACATTATCAAATAAATATGAACATATCTGTTTATTCGGAGACTGGAATTCAAGAATCAAGAATTTACAAGAATTAGTTACTCCAGATTTTGACATTTTTCACGAAAATGATATGGACATTCTTTACAACGAACTAGATACTGAATTGAATGTATTTCTCGGTACAAATGTTGTTCCTTTCAGGAATAATGAAGACAATACTATGAACAATTATGGATATAAACTCATTGATTTCTTAAAATTTA